AGCTCTTTTAGAATTTCTTGATTCTTTACATACTCTCGAATGAATCCTCACATGATTCGTCGTGGTAAATCTCTATGATTCCCGACATGTTCCAGATGACCTTCTCAGATCTCCGTTCAACCCTTCCTCGTAAACGCCTTCGCTTGTCGCGCGGGAGCCGTAGCTCAAACATCGATCGCATCGACCGTAACGCCCTTGACCCAAGAATACTGCATAGCACGAGCGACCTCCAGAGCCGAGTCGTGCGAAGCCAAAGAACCCACCAAGTATAGACTGGCATCGAGCCCAGCAGTCACACCGCCAGTGGTGATGACGCGCATACCACCCAGGGGCATGGAAGCACGTCGAGCGATGGACTCGCGGCGGCGAGAGTCGCGCCAGGCGTTGCTGCCCTTGCGAGCGATCGACTTCCTACGAGCATGGCCCATGTTGGTGCCCTCGGGAGCGCTCGGCGGCTCACGCGACTTCTTGATGATGTACCTGTAATGGTGAGCGTTGCATGCCACCGCAATTCAAGTCCTACTTACGGGTTGTCGTCGGGGTTCTCGCCTAGGTCGAAGCGGGCGTTGTTCACGACGTATCGCTCCTCCATGACGTCTGTACGCTCCGACATGTCGCGTCTAGCCGCATCTTGACAGATGGTCTCGAGACGGACGTAGTAGTCTGGGTGGGTTGTAGCGGCAAGGCCCTCGAGCATGCCCTGCTGAGCGAGGAGCAGAGCACCGACATCGATGGCAAGGATGGTGCGCTCTTTGCTGGGACTCTTCTCCTGGAGCTCGACGTACTTGGTGAGGAGGCCAAGAGGCTCAGACTTGTTCTTGAGGACCTCAAAGACACCCTCACCACCGGGAACAATGACGACATCAAAGTCCTCAAGCTCGTCGTTGGCGTCCTGAGATGGATGTCAGCGTAGGTTCCTTGCTTCTCGCGGGTATGCTTACATCGTAGTCCATGTCCGCTTTGATGGTGAGACCCTGGACGGACGTCATGGCAGCAGCTGTGCCGACGAACTGGCAGTTGAAGGCCTTGCTAGCTGTGGAGTGTCAACAAACATCCAATTGACTGAGCTTCTATGCTTACACTTGTCCTTGGAGTCCTGGAGAGAGCGACTGAGGACCTCAAGCGGACCTGCCACGTCGAGCGTGTTGTAGCCCGGGAACAGGGCAAACAGCACCTTGACCTGCTCGACAGGGCCATCGGTGCTGTCAGCGATTGCACTCATTTTGAATGATGTGAAGTAGGATGTGAGTTGGAATGGATTGAGTAAGTTGTTGAAGTGAGCATGAAGTTGTTGGAGGAGAGAGTAGTAGGAAGGAGCGAAGCTGTCTCAGCTGAGAGGGGTAGCTACTATAGTCTCGTGCCCAAGCACCGCGTCACGTCTGTAGCTCTCCTTCCCCAGATATGCAACCCCGCTTAGCACGGACCGTTTGTCGCTGCAAGTAGTCTAGTCGGCGGGGCAAGAACGTCGATCGAAGCTCCCCGCGTGCTGACCCTTGCTGGCCTGTCTCGATCGCATGCGTCCCTGAAACAACCACGATGAGCTATGAGATGAGTGATGAATAGTGCGAAGCTACTTGGAAACTAGGTGATTCGCGATTGATCAAGGAATCCAGCGTGAGGGCTAAATGTAGCTCCATTGGAATTCACTCATATTGTCACGCACGGACCATGCGTTCACGAGCAGACCATCAACAAAGCACGACCACGGAACATGTCGCTGTCACGAGACATGAGTTTGAAGATGATAAATAGGTAACTCAGACATTCTGCGCAAACTGACTGGCCCTCGGAATATGCCTGGAGACCGCACTCTAGAAAGCATACAAAGTAAGTTGAAACTCAATTGCTCGTTGTAGCTCGGGGCCGCTTGACTACCTATGTACTGCTTCCTTTTGGCAGAGGCCAGATCGACGAAGCTTCTCAGCTGACAGAATAACGCGCTGTTTAAAGCCTAGTCAGCCTTGCTTCCACGCGTTTCCTTGAATCTGACCCTAGCCAAGGATCCGACCCTCCCGAGTTCAGTAAGGTAACAACAACTAAAACCATGACAGCATCCTCATCTTCTTTACGTCACGATGCGAATCACAACAGATTTTGTACTCTGAAAGTGTCCCAGCCTAAACACACGAAGGCAACGTCGATGAGCAATGTGACAGCCTGCACGTATCCAAACTTTTAGATCATCGGTTGCTCATAGAAGGCCGCCTGAAAGAAGAGCGGTCGTGACCATGTCAGGTCCCGCTGGCTGTATGGTGGACTTTATGTCTGAATTGATGCTTGCAACGTCTCTGAGCTCCTTCGAAAGAAGAAAGCTCATGATGGAGAACAGAGAACATGAATGAATCACAGTCTACTGCTTGTTTATATGGCTAGAATGATGGCGCAGTAGTGTGGTTGCACCTCATACATAAAAACCTTAACAAGTCTCAAGCCTACTTTAACATAGAAACATGCGAAATGGATGATTTGACGTCAACGCGAGCTCTAGGACGCTTACTCTTTTTCTTGGATGAGGTGATTGCGAGGTAGTGGACATGTCTCGTGTGAGCATGAATGGTGGACCCATACGCACGGACGCGCGTGTTAGCGCGACATTGCCCCAAGTGACAGCATGGAACAAGTCAACCGCAACATGGCGGCACCAAATGATTCCGACGCGTCGCTGTCGGCCGAGTTGAAGCAGACGTCCGCTCAGTCGCCTTCGACACCCACCGCGGTAGCATTGGCTAAGCAGCCTCCGCCAGAGACGAAAGAGAGCTTATGGCTGCGCCGCCTGTCCATCCTCTCCTTTTGGGTGGTCGTGGTGTTCCTGGGCCTACCAATATGGCTGAAGACAACAGCCATCTACAGGGCAGAGCTGCCACTGCAGGACATGACGGACTGGGCTGAGGGCAAGGTAGATCCCCCCAAAGTATGACATCCTGTCACCAACACAGCTGACACCGCGGCAGGTCTGTAAGCCAGTCTTCCCTCTGCGCATCGCTGTAGAGGCCCCGATCCCTTCCACGGATGCGCAACATCTCCTCCGTACGACGCAACATGCCCTCGACGATATCAACGACTTCTCTGCCCACCACCTCCGACTGATGCTCGCCGATTCTCCCTCGCAGCAAAACGCCTCGCAACAAGTCATTGTCGATGGAACCAGCATCCAGAGCGATGACAAGGACGTGGCCCTGGTCATCCGACTGATACCTGTCGAGACGGGCACAACGCCACGGTCGCAGCTGCAGCCATATTCGCCAACGCTAGACGTATACTACTCGCCCAACCAGATTCCATCGCAGTCGTCGACTGGCTCGAGTCTCGCTACATTCCTCGCTCAGGAACTACACAACATATTTGGTGAAGAGCAGGCGCAGTTGGCGCACGTGTTGTCGGCTACTTCTGGTGCACATGCTGCCAAAGTTAAGGCGCTTTCTCCAGAAACGTCCGCAGAGCTTCAGCGCCAGTCCACGCGCGCCCTGAAGTATGCTCCAACATACCACCTGACGTTCTCCTTGTTCAGTCCCTCCTACGCACCTTCCCAGTGGGACATCGAGACTGCTCTCCAGACGTACATGAGCCCCCTTCTTGACGCCTTCTCCGCCATCAGCAACTTTACCGTCGATACACAAGTGCAACTTTACGCAACATTCGCTCCGTCTGTTCGCCAGCCGGAGTACGATGAAACTACAAAGGCATGGACTCTCCGCAAGGAAGACCTTAGTGGGTTCGTGAACGCGGCTGAGTGGCCTCTCAGTCCCAGCATTGGCGAGGGGCCGACCGTCAACTTCATTCTGTATGTACCGGATCACACGCAGTCTCCGCTTCTGGTCAAGGAGAATGCAGGGAACAGCTGGTTAATTCCGCAATGGGGTGGTGTACACATACTGAACTTGGAGGGCGAGGCAGACACGCCGGCTGCTTTGACTGCTGAAATGCTCGCACCAGCGATGCACACATTCTCGAATCAGCTCATCTCGTTGTTCGGTCTGCCGCAGAGTCCGGCATCTTTGCCACTTCGCATCTCGACTCTTGAACGCGTCCGAGCTGCATCCCTTATCTTCTCAGCATCTTCCACGTTGGGAGCCTTAGCTCAAGTGTACCAGAAGCTTCCTTCTATCCCAGTACCCGATAACGTTGCCCAGTCTACGCAAGAGACGATTGCACATTTACAGCAAGCCTGCGACTTTCTTCGAGATGGCCGCTTCGCAAGCGCTCTGGAACACGCCCGTGCTGCAGAGGTGGAGGCCGAAAAAGCTTTCTTCGAGCGCTCCATGGTCGGACAGGTCTACTTCCCTGACGAACACAAGGTGGCTGTGTACCTACCCCTACTAGGGCCAGTTGCCGTCCCACTGATCATGGCTGCTTTGAAGGAGCTGAAAGCAGTGCTAAAGCGAGGCTGAAAGCCACGTCGCTTGTCTTATCCCTAGTACGCCCTGTGGATTCCAGAGATCTTGGTACCCAAATCCCACCGGGTTATATCAATCGCTGACGATTGTCACATGTTTCGAAGTATGTTCCGAGGGAACCACAATACCATCCAGAGAGAGCCATGCAGTCGCTTCATGAGTCCTGTTTAGTAGTACAACAGTAGGCTCACGTTGATGGCACGCTATATTAGTCCGTCGGATGTGCACTACTGTACTAATGACCCGAATGATGCCCCGCTGCGGGGTAGCGTAGGGTGGAGCGAGCAACCTCTACCATCACTGGTTATGCGACTCATAGGTTCAATATCAACAAGTCCACGTCCTTAATGTTCGCCCTGCTCGATTGTCTCATGTCCGGTACCTTTCATTGGTCTTTCCTATCCGTATAGCCCCTGAACGTACTCGGGCGGTGGCTTACGTCCACCACAACTAGTTACATACCTCCACTACTGATGTCTGGATTCGGCTTAGTATGTGTGATGCTGGAGGCGGGACATTGATACCCTCGGTACATAGCGCAACTTCTATAAGACTGATCTATTCTACGATCAACCTTCTATGACCACCCACATAACAGCTCTCATCATGCCTCTCTCCACTAAAGCTGTTGAAGATATTAAGAGCACTCTAGATGGTTTCATTGGAGATGGCTCACCGGGTCTCGCCTTCCACGCTATCGACAAATCGGGCAAAACACTTGTCGAGCATGCTTCAGGTATGCTGGGTGTAGACTCCAAGGAGCCTATGAACACTCAGACTACCACCTTTTGGATTGCTTCTTGCACAAAACTGGTCACTGCAATTGCTGTGCTGCAGCTTGTCGAACAGGGCAAGGTACCGTTGGATGATGCTGAATTCATCAAGAAAACCGTGCCGGAATTATCAGAGAAAAAGGTCTATGCAGATGGTGTCAACGGTGTTGAGCAAGAGAAGGGAATCACAGTACGAATGCTGCTGAGCCATACCGCAGGATTTGGATACCGGTTCGCGGATCCGAGGCTCGTAGCGGATGGCATCGAAGGGAGCAGTGGAGACAAACGCGACATTCTCGATTCGAAGCTGGTGAATCAACCGGGAAGTATGTGGGAATACGGCGTAAGTTGCATCTAGATCCTTCGTCCCGTCCCAGATATTGACAGAATTGCAGGTCAACATGGACTGGGCTGGCATCGTTCTCGAACGCGTCACAGGGCAAACACTAGGGGAATACTTCCAAGAACATATTTTCACCCCCGTAGGCATCGCCGCAGAGGGCGCAACGATGTTCCCCTCCAAGGAAGCGCAACAGAATTTGGCACACATGCACCAACGCGAGACCGACGGCACCCTCAAAGAACGCGAGCACCTCTACAACGGCCCTCTGTCTTGCACCCCAGAAAAACAGAAAGACTTCCTCCAATCCGGGGGTGCAGGGCTTTGGTCAAGACCTAGCGAATACGTCAAGATCCTCGCTGCTCTACTGAACGACGGAACGAGTCCACAGACCCAGAAGCGCATCCTTAAGAAGGAGACAGTCGACCTCATGTGGGAGAATCAAATCCCTTCCCAACCCGACTTTGCGCGTGCCAACGTCCCACCCGCGAACCCTTTGCTCGTCAACCAAGCAGCGGATATGTATCCCCAGCCTGGAAACCCTCCTCAGGGATGGGGCTTTGGCGGTTTCATCACAATTGAGCCTGGTCCGTCTGGTCGTGGGGCTAATACGCTATGGTGGATGGGCTTGTGTAACTGCTTCTGGTGGGTGGACAGGGAGAAGGGGGTTGCGGGTATGTTGGCTTCGCAGGTGCTTCCCAATGGTGATCCCAAGGTTATCCCGGCATGGTTCATGGCTGAGAAGGGTGTTTATGATGGGTTGCAGTAAGGAGCTCGATTAGTACGATGCATAAGCCCTCTTTGATTGGCGGTGTCACGTAGCAATGCGCGCAAACAGAGGCCGTTGGTCTAAAGGCATGTGATGGGAAGCAACCGCACTAGAAAAAGAACTCATAATGCCTCCATGTGCAGCAGCAATCCAACGTCTGAGCATGCGTTTGCTTGTCAGGTGGATCTGCGAAGATATAAGATCAACTTCGTCCGATACGCATGCATCAAGCAATATCTACCCCTACTACAAGACGTAACTTTACCTCACTTCCACGAACCCGACTATCTACTCGTCACCCCAACCCTCAATCTACATTCTACCAGTCAGCAAACCTCACCCACTACACTCGCGCGACATCACGATGATACTCTCCCGCCTCCTATCCATCACCCTCCGCTTCGCGCAATTCGTCTGCGCAGCCGTAGTCCTAGTCCTGACATCCGTCCTCCTCCACCAAATCCGCCACATGGACGCCAGTGACTGCCACGGCCGCCTCATCTACAGCGTCATGATAGCCGGCATATCGGTCGTCGCATCCCTCCTCTGGCTCTTTCCCACCACGTCTCACATCGTCAATTTTGTTGGCGATCTTATCTTTTGCGGCGCGTGGGTCGCTGCCTTTGGCTTGCTGCAAGATTATTATAGGAATGGTATGGATTGTGGTAGTATCTGGGCGTGGGATCAGATGACGGTGAGGAATGGGATGTGCAGTAGGTGGAATGCGGCTCAGGCGTTTGCGTTTCTGAGCGCGGTGTTTTGGTTCGTAAGTTTTGGTTTGGGGGTGTTGGTCTGGAGGAGGGGTGGTGGCAAGCGGGGAGGTGTGGGTAGGGTGTGATGATGTGCATGGTAGCTTTGCGATGGATGGTTTGCAAGCTGCTTTTTCTTGCGATACCTGCGACTGCAATACGTGCTTTGGACATTTGGTTGCTGCATCGTTGTGCGGCTTGGAATCTTGAGGAAGCCGCGGACGGGACCTCGGGACGCGCTGTCGCCTTAGACCAGGCCTGGTATAGTAAGAACCATCATCAACACCGACTGAATTTACGCCTTGTAAACCCTAACATACAACTCTCGTCGCCGTGCAAGTCCGAGCTCTAAATCTGCGCTACATACATGTCCTGCCATCTCGTCTCTGATTCGTTGCTGGTCATCAGGCGTCCAAGGGGTTCGTAGATCCTGCGAAATCCTCCACCCGTCTAGGCTGCCAGCGTCCCCGTCCGGCAAGTTCTTACTTGATTCCTCGGGAAGCGGGATTTCGCACGACGTTTGCCCTAGAGCTGGATCATCAGGCCCCATGGAAGCCTGGAATGTTGTATATGGCTAATGCACTGCACAGGCAGCATGCTGTCTAGGTCTGGCGCCGTCAGATCTAGGTACATGGCGCTCATTGTATAAAGATACTCCATCGTCCGCTCTTCTTGCTCACATCTTCACGGCCGATATTGCATCACATCGCGAAATACTTGCACCATGTTATCACCACTCACTATCGGTCTTGGCTTGCTACCACTGCTCAGCGTAGCGTATCTCGAGGAGCCTCCAACTACTGCGGCTCCAGACACCGTCGCAGACTGCTCATGGTGGCATGTCGCCGCAGAGACCGATACATGCACCAGTATAGGTGCATACTGGGGACTCACAGATGCGCAGTTGACGGAATATGTACGAAACGAACGCCACAACACTCTACGCATATACTAACGCGTGAAACAGAACCCAAGTCTGGCTGATGGCTGCAAAGTCATTCCGAATAACTCTTACTGTATTGAGAGAAACTTGGGCAAGCCTGTACCATCATCTGCCACCAGCACCCTTGTGACTGTAACCAGCACCAGCCAGACGCCTACGCCTACTCCCACGACGCCTTTGGAGATCTGTGAGGAAGAAGCCGGTAGTTACGCGAGATACTGCCCACGTTGTCTTTACCGTTGCGAGAACGTGACACAGAACATGGCACAGTGCTTCTACAGCACTTTCTTCACTATCAATGGCGTTCAGAGTCAATGCTGGCAGCATGGAGGCAACGATTGTGCGAACCAGGCGGCGGCCGCTGTGTGCCCAGACCAATAGGCCCTGTTGCGGCCAGGCAATTATCAAAAGAGGTGGACTAGACCTCCGACAGACATGGTACTGGGTACACGGGTGAAAGCATTGAAGGAGAGAGCTGATGAACGCCAAGAATAACATATCTACTCCGTGTCTTCCAAGATCTTGGTCAGATCTATCGGAGATTTGGAGGGATAACCTGATGGATCTCCTTCGTCATCTTTATGGGCCGTTGTACAGGCGGCAGGCTATGCACACACATATATCAGCACAGCGCACGAGTTTCAGCAGAAAATATAGATGAAATCCTCGATTTAGCGGCGGTTGAGAACGGATGAGTTATACAAACCTTGGAAGTTCACTGCGGTAATGAGTGACAATGACGGCGATGTCATAGCCGCCAAAATTGACGACTTGCCCACCTCTTCGCATTCGCGATCGCAGTTTTAGCCTTTTAGATCTTGATACATCCGATACCGTCAATCAGCGTTGAGGATATTCGCTACCATGCATTAGTACCGTGACGCAATGGCAAAACACCAGTGCGCCAAGCTGTATATGTTTGTTCACATATACTCGACACCACCTCGCCTAAACATGATGCTTGCACGTTTGCATCAGCCGGCATGCAAATAAAGATACGCGATGTGCTTCCCCGCAATCGACATACTATCCCCCGATGCACGATCTCGCATTTGACTCCCGAGGAGCTCATCCGGCACCTGACTAGGGAGCTTAACCACCGGCCAAGACAACGTCGACCCACCATATATTAAGCTGAAGCACACATTCTTAGCTAGCGCACGATCGCATACCAGAAAGAGCATGTGTGACCTTTTCACCCCGGATCCATCTATAACAAAAGGCCCAACTAGAGCCTCAACCCCGACGAGATAGGCCCGACAGAATATAGCAAGCCCACATTTACTGGTGGTTGGCGCGATGATTTTATCCCTTTGCAATCAAAATGGTTGCAGACGAGAGCGTGTGGTGGGCACCCAAGAAGTGATGGAGGACGAATGCAAGGGCTGTTTAGTGTGATGGGGACGTCTTAGCATGATAGGGACGTCTTGGTACATTGGGGACGTTTTAGTGTAATAGGAACGTTTTTTTGGTATATAACATGCCTTGGACTTGACTCAGTTACCTACATCTCCATCAGCTCGTTCTGCGTCTTCCTCGATTCTTTCGCATCCATCAGCATGAGGTACTCATTCACTCTCGCCGTTGCGGCTTTGTGCGTTGAAAGCAGTGTCGCAACACCGCTCAACCTCGAAGCCAGACAGGTAAGCAACACCTCTCCTATTTCAAAGACTCTACTGACATCTGCTCAGCAAGGCAGTGGCGCAGGCCCTTACGCTCCGGGCACTTACAAGACCGAGAGCTCCCTCCAAGGCCACACAATCTACTACCCAACCAAGAGCACCGGCTCCGAAAAGCTCCCTGTGCTCGTCTGGGGTAACGGTGCATGCAGCACCGACGGCCGCTCGAACTCGGCTCTCTTGCAGAACATCGCCAGTTACGGATTCCTCGCCATCGCTGAGGGTGGCCCCAACGGCGGCGGTACCTCCAATGCTCAGACCATGAGACAAGCCATTGACTGGGTCACCCAGAACGCCGGCAAAGGAAACTATGCCAACGTCGATGCGAGCAAGATCATGGCCGCAGGATTCTCGTGCGGTGGCGTCGAAGCCATCGACAACATCTGGGACAGCCGCGTCGACACCATCGGAATCATCAGCTCAGGTCTGCTGACAAACTACACTGCGGCCAGTAACTGGAGGAAGCCAGTGCTTTTCGTATTGGGTGGTTCAGGCGACATCGCTTACGGCAACGTAAGTTCTCCTTACCTACTCCATTCTGTTGCGTGCACGATGAACTAACAAGGATTCTAGGGTGAGCGTGACTACAAGAACATGCCTGCTGGTGTTCCGACCTGGAAGGGCAACATTCCCGTCGGCCACGGCGGTACCCTCGGCGATGCGAATGGCGGCCGTTTTGGCAAGGCGATCCTCAACTGGATGCTGTGGACTATGAAAGGAAACACACAGGCGGCGTCTTACTTCACCAGTGGTTACCAGGCTGATGGATATCAAGTCGAGTCTAAGAGCTTGAACTCGTTGAAGCCGTTCTGAGTGTTGGGACGCTTGAGGTGGAACGCGAAGACGTAGTCGTATAGAGTGTTACGAAAGAGACCGTATAGGATGCTAGTCGTCCTCACTCAAATTTATCAGAATTTAGCAAGAAATCCAGTGGTATCAACATGCGCTTTGCATAATCAGCTGTTCGACGTTGTCAGCGCTCAACGGCCTTAACGGCACCAAAACCCTATCCCCACACCCCACTAACCCCTCCGCGTTAGAGCTCCCGTCAGCATTCACCCACCCCACCATGGATACCCCAACAACATCATCGTCTCATCCCAGTACCGTAACACGACACACCACCTCCTCACCCAAAATGTCCACCCCCCTCGCCACAGTAGCCATCATCTCAATCGGGCAAATGGGCCTCGGCATCGCCGCACTCCTCACCTCGCACAACTACCGCATAACAACCAACATCAGCGGCCGCAGCGCCGCCACAAAAGCGCGCGCGGAATCCGCTGGCATACACCTCTATGCTACAGACGAGGAGCTCGTCGCAGATGCAGACTACATATTGAGTATCGTGCCACCACGTGACGCCGTGGCGACGGCGAAACGCGTGGTGTCTGCGCTGCAATCGGAGAGATGTGAGAGTGAGAGGATGGGGAAGGGGAAGGGAGAGGTGTGGTATTTGGATCTGAATGCTATCAGTCCAGATACGGTAAGAGGAATAGCGGGACTGTTTGAGCATAACGAGAAGGGTGTTGTGTTTGTAGACGGGGGCATTATCGGTGGCCCACCAGCGCCGCCGCCGTCACAGACAGAACAGAGTACTTGGACAAGACCCGGTATCCCCCTATCGGGACCTCATCCTCTGGACTCTGCACCCATTTCCGGGGCCCATCTAGCTGAAGTACTTAACACGCGGTATCTCGGCGGGGAAGTCGGGACAGCGTCCGGGCTGAAATGTTGTTTCGCAGCGCTATCAAAAGGGTTTACGGCGTTGGCGCTGCAATCTTTCTCGTCAGCGGAGTCGCTGGGTGTGCTGGATCCGTTGCGTGAGTATCTTGATGTGTATAATCCGGGTGCGAGACAGAAGGCGGAGAAGAGTGTGGTGGGGTGTACAGGGAAGGCTTATCGGTGGGTGGAGGAGATGATGCAAATTGGTGAGTGTTTTCGAACGGAAGGTGGGAGGGCGGGTGAGGCGAGTGTGTTCAGGGAGATTGCCGGCGTGTTTAATGGATTGGCTGATGTTGTGGAGAGGGACGGGAAGGAGGAGATGGGGAGCGTAGAGGGCGTTGTTGGAGCGCTATTGAAGGATCAGAAGGACAAGAAGACTTAGTGGACTTTTTGCATGGGCGCGCGTTGTCACATTAGGCCTGGTCATTAGACGTATTCAGATTGGAATTCCATACCCCCGCGCTATGCTACTTAACAGAATCATGGTCATCAATTTAACAAATCATGCCCTCCGAACATTGCGGCCATCACCATAGGCCAATGTGCGTCCCATATCCATTACCGTACTCGATCCTGCCGCACTACTACCGCTGACGCCCCTCTTGTGCCCGGCATCCATACTGCTTCTGCCCTCAACCAGCGCCCTTCGTCCATCGACGCTCTGTCCAACGAGCCTACCACTGAATTGGTGCCAGCAGTTGGGCGCTTGGAGGATATACTTTTCCATCGCAATCCTAAATCTGTTCCTATAGTCACGCGGCGATGTAATGGTAGGCTTGTTCTTGCCGCGGTCCTTGATCCAACTCTCCAGCTTCTTGTCCCAGGTGTAGGTGCGAATGCAGTCGATAATGCCTACGATGATCTCGCGTTGTGTGTCGTCAAAGCCTGCCATGAGAGAGTAGTCCATAACGTTGTTCTGTGATAGGAAAAGCGTATCGTTGAACACACTAGCTTTGAGCAACTTCTTGGTGTGCTCACGGACGAAGATGGGTGTCTCAGAGTAGATGATGTCAACAAGGTTCTCGTCGAGAAGAACTTCATCTCGTTCGCCAGTGGCTTGGATCTTGCGATTGCGCATACTGCCCTTGAGATCGTAGCGGCGATTCGGTTCGCGATCGTAGAATAGGTTCTCCATAACAAGCATGTACCAGTCAAAGTCACGACCGGTGGGTGTCTTGATCTGGACTTGGAAAAGGCCAAACATCTTAGCGATGACGCTGGGTAGCGATTTGAAGAGGTTCTGGTGCGTAAAGGCAAAGTAGTTGGGGCCGAACTTGAAGAATGCTTGAACTTCGACTGGAGAGAGTGACTTCAGGACAAATCGGTCGTCGAGGGTCTTCAAAAAGATTGACTTGGACTTCCCGCCCTTGGAATCCCATTTCGAACAGCGGGAGAGGGACTCCACGAAACGTTCTGCCACACCACATTTGCGGCGGAGTGCGTCGAAAGATTGGGCGTAGAAAATCTTGCAGTGCGCCTTTACCCCACGATTGGTGAAACTGTAGCGGATGTTGTGGTTTTCTTCATGCAGCAGATTTCGTTCGACTGACTCTTCAAACGTTTCCATAACGCCATCACTTGAAGTAAAATCGCGGAAGGTTTGTCGTTTGGCAACATAATCTGGACACGATAGCGCCAATGCAATAATGGAACTGGGTTCGTCTTCCCGGATGATGATATCCGAGTTCTCCCAGACGTGCTCGATCTGTGAGAATGGATACTCAAGCGGCGTCCATCCACTTGCTGATCGTTCGGACCAGAAACTGGTAAGAATTTTGAGTAATGTGTTCTTCTCGTGTTTGGGGAGCTCAAGAGAGTTTTCCAGCTGCGAGTCACTTAGACTCAGAAGTTGAGAGCCCGCGAGGCTCTCCGGTAGAGGAATGTCTTCTGGCGTCGTCTCCGTGTCACTGATGTCGTTCTCGGGATCTGATGGGAAGTGGCTTGGTGATTTGGGTGACTCATCGCTGCTGGGAAGTTGGGCCATTTCATCATGAGGGTGTCGCCTCTCCACCGGTGATTGCGACGCTGTTGTGTCACCTGTGTGCTCTGTGAAAGTGCTGTCCCCAAGTGTACTGTTGTCTAGACTCGCCCGAGGAGGAGTTGGAGTACGAAGATCTTCATCAGAATCTTCGTTCTCTTGTACAGCGTCATGGACGTTTTTGTACACCTCGACAACCGGTTTAGAGGAGGCTAGTGGGAACGCGCGCACTTGCCTAGCTCGATCATTACGTCTCTCGCGCATACGCTGGTTCTGAAATTCTCGTGACAGCTGTTCGAAATGCTGCGCAATCTTCGATACCTTGTTTTGGCTCTTGTAAGGTATCGACCGAGGTATGCGAGATGAAGACTTGGATTGCTTTGGGGTAGACAACCCGAGCCCAAGTCGTTCTGTCATACGCTCAAAAGCCTTTGTAGAGTCGTTGGAGTTTGGCTTCGGACTAGTGGGCCCGTTGTTGGAGACCGACGAGCCTGGGAAAGGGCCGATATGTTTAGCAATATTTCCAGGCTGAGATTGTGTTCTCACAAGTGCTGTTGGCCGGGCCGGCGTCTCACGTCGACCGGGCTCGACCAGCCGCGGAATTTTGCTTTCAGCTGTGATGTTCGAAGCTGACGGCAATGGTGATGGGCTACTCGGCATGTTCTCAATCGCTTCAGCAAGCGACTTATCAATCGGATTTACCCTCGGAAGACTGGTAGGTGTAGGCGACCCTTCGTCGTACTTGTTAGGATCAGAAGCAACAGTTGGTGTCTTGGTGAGTTCTTCGTTGCCGACTGCAGGTGTCTCAGGATAGTTGGAGGGCACTGCAAGATCCAAATGACGGACGTCTTCTCGCTCAAGTGCCTCCCGCGGGGTCTGGATTGGCAAATCTGAACTAGGCTTGGTCAGAGGGGGCGTGGTGGGTCCAGACGTCTGTTCTCCCCCGTCCAAAGGCTGATCGCTAGTCGAACTCTCTTCTTTGACAACGGAGCTCAACATGTCGCGGGCCATTTCTGGTGACAGATTAGATGGCCTCGGCGATAACGCAATCGACTCATCCTTCTCATCGATGTACGAATCGTCCGCACCTGATTCCCCGCCCTCGTCCACGGATGCCAAAGAGCTCGTAGACTCATCCCGCTCCAAGAATCTCTTCAATTGCATGTTCGCATACCTCCTGATATCTCGCTCGGACGGGAAGAACTGCTGTTCAAACTCCAGAAAAGTCACATCCCAGGCGATTGCCTTTTCCTGAATGGCGCGAATGGCGCGATTCATGGGGATGATCTCGTAGTATTTGGAGTTCATGTACTTGTCTTGGAGTTTGGATTTCAGCCACTCGTGTTCCTCGTTCGCGCGTTTTAGAAGTATCTCAACTTCCTTGCGGCAAACATCCACCTTCTCTGGAATGACATCTTCGACATGTATCCCCTGGATACGAGCGCGAAGCGAGTCCATGAAGCAGTCCAACTTCTCCTCGATCATCAGATATTGGCTATTCTTCAACCTTAGGTCGCTATCCACTTTCCAGGTCACGTTCGGCTTGGGAGCGATGACCTCGTACATCGGTACAGGGTCATACTGGATACGCAGAGCAACATTGCTGTAGCCGAAGTAGCGGACGTGGTCCTTGTGAATGTCGTGGGGACATATACCCGCTCGTGGATGCAGTTTGGTACTCCAGAAAGTCAACTCGAGGTATTTGGCAAAAGAGTATCTCCAACTCCACTCCGACATAGGAAAAGCTTGGGTTTCCTGGCCACATATTCTGCAACAGCTCCACATGAGAATGGTTTGATACATGCCTTTCAGCTTCGGTGGGTGCTTCTGGACAATGACCGTCATTTGACCTTCTCCATGCACATATTGCCGAGAATGATCGAGCATTCTCCGGTCGCAATTGCCCACTTCACAGGCGACACTGGCTGAAGTGCACAGGTCTTCCACGTATTGGCCTAATGTGCAGTCTGGCGTGAAGCCGTCATCATAATCATGTTCTTGGTAAAAGCCAAGCGCAATGATTTCTGGGCCAATGCAGGGAGTCGAGGTTACAGTATTGACAACACTGTAGAGTACGGCGATCTTCTGGTGGTTGAACGGGTCGTAAAGA